ACGGCGCTCTGGTACCACTGCCCTCCCCCCAAGGTTCCCGTGCACTTTTGAAAGGAAAGTACGTCACTGCAGCTGCGAACCATACGCTCCGTACATGGCAAGGACAAATCTAGCCGAGTGCACCCGCTTGTTTTTAAGTAGAATACTTCCAACGGAATCTGCAACACATCAGTCAAAATTCCAATTTGGGATTAAAAATGAAGGTCCTTTACTAGGAAGGACCCAGTGGAATCACTCAATTCCAGGTCATTGTATGCGGTTCGCTTCGAACCAAAACGGAGAACGGAAGATTTCTATCCGAAAAGCTTACCTGTTCGCGGTAGAGTAGACTGAATAGGTAGACGATGGAGCTCAAGGCAAAGGAAAGTGCCGTCCATAGAAGACTGGTCTCTGGCAGGGCTGTGAGGCAGTGACGTCTGGAAGATCTTCGATGACTTGGCAGTGCACTACGAATCACCTTCTACTTTACTTATTACTGATGCTAATGGAGTTGTAACTAGTCACTATACTCATGCGAATGGAACTGTAAATCTTGAAAAGTCTTCAGCTCACCGCATAACAAACGTCAGCACGCAAATGGCAGTGATCACAAGGCTGATGATGGACAGTACGAAAAGTGCTGTTGAGGCGGATTCGCGATCGATCTGAAGCCATTCGAGCTGAATTGACGAAGAATTCATAGAAACTTCACGATGACTTACCTGCTTGATACCTTGTCCTGCTGCACAGATTGGAATGCAACGACCACTGCGATTCACGTAGATATGCTCAGGTGGACAGTCTTCTTTGTCATACTCTTCGGGACTCCTTGCAATCACACCCTCTTCATTCGGTCCGCGCATACACATATCCTCATTATTGTTTTCTGAAATAAGCCACTGGTTCATCCAGAGAAAAGTATGGAGCTTCAGCCTCTAATCAACCCAGTTTCTAGATGCGCCACGCATTCATCTGCCACTTAGAATCTTAGTAGCTTTTGAAAACTATTTGGCCAGTACAATGACTTCCGTGGGCCAGCTGATGCAAGTTGGTCTTTTTATCGTTCTAGACAAGTCTAGGACTGGTAGGAATTGACCGACTCCGAAGGAGCAGAACACTTGGTAGACCTGGCAGGGCACAATCGTTGGGGATTCCCCAACAGGGGAGGGGGATGTATTCGGTCTAGAAAAATGCTTTGATAGTTGCTCTTTCTTGTTTCACAGAAACTATAAGGGGATGTAATGGTCCCTTGTTAGGAGGGGAGTCGTAGTTGCCTTTTAAGAGAAATTATGCGGCGTTAGGAAGATTTTTCCCGGTTGTTGACTTTTCACGGTTTCTCCTGTTTCACATATTTCCCCCGCTCGGCAGCAAATTTTGGAGAAAAGGATAGGAAAATTTTTGGAAATTCGTCGAAAAATTGGAAAAAAGTGGTGGAAAATTGGGAAGATCCAAAGAAGTAGGGAGGATATGGAAGAGGGAGGTCGTTTCAAGCCACCCTTTAGCGTGGGGGGTCGCATGGACTGGACCGAAATCTCCAACCAATGATGTGCCCTGAGACCCGAGTGCGAGCCATTCGGGAGGGAACAACAGAACCAGGACCGAGAGCAGGCCGTTTTGCCTTATATCTCCTCTTGCCTTCAAAGCGTTCTTCCCCCAGTGAAATTAGCTTATTTTTTGTTTTATTTACGGCTTAACACTAGATTTCTGGCTATTTTGATTACTTTGCCATAAGGGAGTGCTTAGACCCCTCCTTTGCAACCTAGAGGTAGTCCCGTCTCACAGAGGGAGAGGGTGTGCATGCCAATCCAGAGTAAGCGAAACACTCTTGGTTCAGGGTGACACTTAAACGCCTTACTATCGCTACACATGAAAAACTGTGTTTTTATTTTTGACGCTTGTTCGGAGAACGAAGTTAGGAGAAGCGAGGCATAAGGTGTAAAAGGAAAGGTGCTGCTGTAGCCATGTCGCAGTATGAAGTGGTAACGATTAGCAGTTGGTAACGATTAGCAGTGTTTCCGATTTCCCAGGCTTTCCATCTAGTACCATCAATTCAAATGCAGGGAGATATCAGTTCCGAGACAGCCAGGAGCAATTTATGTTGAGTTTCGGCATCATTGTTGACTTTATCATATTACATAGCTGGTTTTTGTGTTACCGAAGCGAATAAGAGTTTGCGGCGCACTACAAGGGCTGTCTGCAGCATGATTCAGCTCCCTACTCCCAGAATTCATATGGTACGAAACAGTGCCAGGGTGTACGCAGTTCAGTCGGTATAGCTGCGCTTGGTGCGCATCACCTCTAGTTAACCTGCTAAAGTAGAACAAAGCGACGTTCGAGGCAGTTTGGCGATAGTGGGGGGGGGCATTTTGCACTTATGCTACTCTCCATGGACGTCGTATTGACCCCATCTGACAGCAGGCCATTTCGCGGCTCACAAAGATTTGACAAGTTTCACCATGGATGCCTCGATCCGAGCTAGCTCAACCTTAGCGAGGACGATTGTCAGTTCCACCGCGAGTTTGGGAAGGACTTGTAAACCGGGACTAGTGAAGCAGCGGTACTGTGAACTGCCCCTTCTCCGTCGCCGGACTGCGCTCGGCTTTCTAACCTTTCGCGAATATTTTGATATTGTCACATTCCTCTACATATGCAAAATAGCAAAAAAAGATGACAGTTGTAATGGTGTTGTTCCAGCTCTGAGCTTTGGGATAAAGTTCAGAGTCTCTGACTAAACTCAAACTCAAAGAGGAAAGGAACCTTCTTCTGCGTCCTGAACTATAAATGGCTTCGATTGTTGTACAACCTACCCGAGAATAAGACTTGCCATGCAATCATTTTTCCAAAAAGCCGAAATCTTTGAGGAGTGGCAGGCATTTGTCGCGGACGGTCTCGCACAGAGGGCGACATGGCCCAATCGGCTGCGGGATCTGAATCAAATGCATCATATACAGATCGCTATCAGCTCATTGTTGTCTCATTGGTCTAGATGAAAATCAATCTCAAGTGTGAGTTATTCGTCGCTGTACGTAGATTTTTTTCCTTAAAAATTTCGGTCACATCAAACGTAGGTAAAACTAAATTATCCCATCTTCCTACCGCTTTGCCTAATTTTCAGGAATTTCACGAGAACTTTTTGGTTCCCCCCCGTGTTTTGCTGTCGAGCGAGGGGGGAGGGAGATTATCAGCAACCAACAACAGTTTCAACTATCATAGTAGTTGCATACATGGGCGGCACCCAGGGCGCATCATTGGTTGAGGATTTTGGTCGATCTGTACCACCTCCTCCCCTGATTCCCTCCTACTCTTTATCGCTGTCCGGATAAGGCGAAACACACCAGGGAGAGGTTAAGAGGAGGGGGTGTTATGGGCACATGAATTGGAAAAGACGAGAACAGTCGCAAACCCTCATCCTAGAAGGTCAAGTAAGCAAATACAACGCCCCCCCCCCTCCCAAGAACGAGCAAATGCGACCCGCTTTACAACGTCCCAGACAAGAAAAATCAACTATCAAAAAGACTTTTTCCCGCTCAAATACGGCCCCTCTCCTCTCTCAACAACCAAATGCTACCATCCCAATTGTTGGGGAACAGGGCAGAGCATTAGTTGGGATTTTTGTTCAAGCCTGAACGACCCCCTTTTGGAGTTGGGTATGACCCCCCAGCCCCGTCATTCCTCATGCGAACTCGAGCGTCGAGCGGGGGAGGTGGGGGGGGGGGGGCATATAGCTTACTCTTTAGTAATAAAATTCCTGCCTGTCGAGCTGGGAAGGGGGGATATAGGTATTATTTAGCAAAATATTTTGCTGTGGAGTGGGGCGGGGCATATAGTACGTGAAATAGGAAAATCACCGAAAGTTAACCGCCACTCTCACAACGCCAGAACCTAAATACGACCACCCTCCCGAAAATGAAAGTACGACCCCCCTTTACAACGTCCATGAAGCGAGAAAAATCAAGTATCAAAACAAATTTTCCCCAAAACACGACCCCCCCCCCTCTACCGCGAGGACTCCCCAACAACGATATGCCTCCGCGGCCATCAACTAGACGATATAATATAGTACATGTGAAGCGGTAAAAACCGCGAAAAGACAACAGGAATAAGTTTTTCTCGATGCCGCAAATTTCTCTCGACAGTAAATACGTACCCCTCTCCCAACAGCAAGGAATACGATACCCCCCCCTCCTTATTGTGTTCGTGACACAAGAAAAATCATGTCTCAAAAAAATTTCTTGCAATTAGACCATATACAACCCCTCGACTCCCCTCTCCGAGCGAGCGAATAGGACCCTCTGCCCGCTATGGGATTACGCAAAGCAAAAAATCGTAAGCACCCACAAAACCCCCCTAAGTTTTCACCTATTATGACTTTCCCTTTTGGCCTAGTTAACAAATTCTTCGAAAATCCGAGTCAGCCTCAACCGAAAACGGAAATCATAGACTGACAGACAGCTTCGGACACGAGAATCGGAGGCTCACTGGCAGCGATTCTATATCGTGAGTACTGTGAGACCTATTGCCTAGTAGAGCTACTTTTAGAAACATATTGTGAAACAACTTGTCTACTCGAAACTCCCTCTTCCGTAGGAGGATTGCTCATGAATCCCTTCTTGCTGAAATCACCCTCCTTGCTAGCAATGTTTGGCGAGCGTCTGATTTGCCAACTTGTTCTTTTTGTTTAAATGATTGGTCCTACTTTACGTTGGAGATGATGAATTGACTTGATCGATTGTCTGGCGCCTCTTCTCAAAAAGCGACTCAACTTCCTATTCACATGCGGATCAGTAGACGGAATCATAGGAAGAACTCGTAACCTGCGCGCTGCCATTGACTATAATCAAAAAAGTTGGTGGCTGGAACGATGCCAACGTATCCTGCGCATCTCGAGCAGATTCATCACCGGCAAGATTGGGAAACCTGAAAGTATCCAAATTAGAAGCTGAGTCTGATCACGGGCCAAGATTCTTCAAGAGTAACGATCCCTTGGGTGGAAAATCACAGGCGATGGGTCGCAGTGGCGATCGGGGCTGCCGTCGATCGTCTCACGGCTGTTCCCAGTCTATTGTATACGCGGTTTTTGATTGATAGCTGCACCATACGCGCTCGATACACAAAGAGGCGCCATCAATTCTCCGTTGAGTTGCGAGTTCAGAGCCTCAGAAAGCGGTGCTAGCACGTAACCACCTCGCGCATTTTTAACCAGCATTTTTTAATTCTGGCAGTGGGAAGGTTGGCAGTGGGAAGGTTGCAGATTGTTGCGGTGTCTGAAAAAGTGTTTGGGGACCAGGAGGAGGATGAAGCCCAAAAAAGGTTAGGCTCCGAATTTGGATGAAAATCTAGGGAGGAAACGCGAACGCGAAATACGCCATGATTCCTTTTGCGAACGGTAGAGCCTGTGATGTGGCATGGATTGGCAGGATACAGCGTGATGTGTGAAATGGTGGTGCCAGTACGACCGGACACCCCCTTCTCAGTGGGACCCCTCTTCATCGGTGCCTACCCACCACTTTCCTACTCCCAGCTTCCTACCAGTTCTAAAATTTCCTACGTTTCACAGCCTTTCACACAAATGTTTTCCGTTCAGAGGGAGGGGGAAGGGGGGGGGAGGTTATAGCAATGTGAACGATCTCTTGTGAAAATCACGAAAAGTCAAACAAGCGAGAAATTTTTTAATGCGACGAATTTCTCTCAAAGGCACATACGACCCTCCAATCCCAACAACGATCAAATAGACCCCCCCCTCCTCAGCGGGCAAGTACGACCCTCATGTGTTTCGCACAACGATGCTGTACCCTGTAGATTGGGCGCGCAGCTAGGGCAGCCTTTTTCTACCATGATGTCATACTGAGCGAAGGCACAAATCAAGCCTTTATGCATATGATTTCAGTGAGCTCGGAAACCTTGCCTGCCAAAGTCTTCCTCGGGAGCACTGAGCCCTGAGCCTAACCTGGTACTCAGTGCCAAAACGATTTTGTTAGTGCATTCCAGGATGCGCACTGAATACAGCCTCTACAAAACACCAAGCTGTAGCTGGTAAGTTTAGACCCAAAATTGATGGTTGATCTTCTTAACGCGGTTAACAGCGCAGCAAAACAGACGTTCAAATTATCGCTTAAAACGACAACGCACGTCGACTTGCAAAAATTGACACTTCGAATGAAAACGGGAGGAACAAAGCTAAAAGTGGAAGGAATGGTTCCCTTTATAACTCACTTTCTAACCCACTGTTGATTCTTTTGGAAACGAAAACTAATGACCTAAAGAAAGGGGTCAAAAGGCCAATTTACGACTCAATAACACTTCCGAAAGATATTGCTGATTTAAGCACTCTTTTAACAAGAACTAAAACTGTGATAGGGGCCAAATTTCGCCGAAGAAACAGTAAGAGCTACACAGCAACTCCAGCTACCAGCGCCTGGCATCAGCCCTGGCAACATTAAGGCATACTCTCGTTCTGAGAAATCGAGAGCTCTTAGTTGAAGTAATGAGGAACCTAAACGGATGTGTGGCGCGACGGGGGGGGACATTTTGCACTTTCACGGCTTTGCTACTCCCGGTTTACAAGTCTCACTCTCGTGAAAGCTGTGAACTGTTGTGAACCTGGAGCGAGCTTGCCCAGCCACCATAGTGAAAACTCCGTAGAAGGCTATCTAGATGGGTCGACACACCGATGGGAAACAAAATGCCCTCTCGCCCCCTCCCCGTCGAGAACTGCGCCCGGATATTTTTAGTTCAGCGTCCCGAGGGGTGGCCAGCAATGCCAAAGTAGAGTGTTTAGGTGAAAGTTCGAACAAAGGTGCAAGACGTTCTTCACGAAGACCACTAGTTTCCACTAGGACATATTACATG